GTATTATGCTCTTGTCCCTAACCAAAATGCTCGCGATTCCTATTCCGTAGTGTCGTTGAGTCCTTCCGGGGACAAAACTGCTGTCCAGTGCTTTTGGTTGACCAGCACACAGTGCCATCGTATAGGTGTGCAATCTCTCTCTGTCTCAGATCAAATTAATCCTTTTGAGACAAAAGGGGGGGGGGAGGATATCCTCCTTACTTATCCGAGAGTAAAGGAGAGTGTCATGTGACCATGTCGATCCAGTGCTCTATGTTGATGTGCTGTATAAACGTAGTGTATACAGTTTGTTGTGCATGTTGTTGACTTCGGGATGGACTTGTTTAATCATCCTGTTTGCCACTTGTGATCCGCAGTAATGAATTGAGGTACTGGATAGCAGATCGGTGACCGAATCATTTATCTAATCTGCGTAGTGTTTCACCCATCGTCCGGGACATGGTTCTTTGAGGTGATTTTTAGAAGATAGTGACAGAAAAAAGTTAAAAAATACTGGAAGCTTGAGTGAGGTTGCTTACGTAACGTCTGTTTGACCTGGAGCCCCCCAAGATAAAAACCAAAATCACCGTTTTCTTCCTACCATTTTGTCATTTTCATTCATATCAACTGTTGTCTGTTATTCACGTATCGTCCTGTCGATTGATGAATGTCGTTGACTACCGTTTTACAGGTTCAACTGGAGGTTGAAGCAAAGTTCGTTCAGGATCAACTACGGGGAGATCAGGTAAATGAGATCCGGGTGAAGTTTCTCGGTCGGAACAAAGAAGTTGTTGCTGGGGACGATTAAATCTGTGTGATTCCTTGATACTTTTATCGCTCTTTTTTTTCTTACCTTCTTGTCTGACAGAACAATGGGAAAATATACGCTGTTTTCCACCAGTTGGTTTTCTCAATGTATCTCCTTGTCTGTGACTGCTCGTTTTAAATAGAACGTTAGTTGTTATATGGATGACATTGCCGGTGTGTCGTAATGCATTACCAGGAAAAATTGGACTTCGTTTTAGCACTCGGTGATGGATTCTGTAGTCCGCCTCAGTATGGTCAAGGGTGAATATCTAGGGTTCCGGCTGGTCACCTTTCCCTTACACCTCGGAAATGCTCCCATACGACCAAGCGTCTCAAATAGCCTCTGCTGAGGAAGCCCTACTCACTGCCTTCTCGTGGCGGAAGTGCTTTTGCACCAAATTGATAGGACAAATAGCCGACATTCGGGGCTATAACCGGTTTAGTGAACCACTGGTAGTTCACCTAGGGGAGTTGGCCAAAAACACTGGTTCAAAAACAACCAAGAGGCGTACGAGCTACACACCTTCATGGTTGTGGCGGTGGTTAACGGTTCGGTTAGGCATCAAGATATATTGGGCACCTTGGATGTTTGATCCCATCTGAAGGACGTAAGATCCGATGAACAGGACGCCGGCCCCCAATCGGTTGCGGTTTTCACACACCGCCCCGCTACCTTTCGGGTACGGCTTTGGCTAGTCGAACGCTCTGGTTGTGGATTTCTCAAAAAAATTCACCTACCTTGGCCTGGCCAACCTGGCAGTATTCGGCCCACATGCGGCTCTACCACGCCTGATCTGTTGAAACCTTATGTGGTCCGCCACTCCAAGTTTCAGGATCATGGTTGGCGGCTTCCTCACGACAAACATGAATATACAAAATCACGAACACTCACCTACTCTTGCTCGCTCTATGTACTCAGACTATAAGCACGCACTTATCATCCTCACCAACATTTGCGGACTGAACCGCAATATTGATTCTGAACACCGTTTTCTCCATTCTTCTCCGCTCGCCTTATTTTTGACCGAAACACAAATCTTCCCCTCGTCAGACACCACCCACTTTCAACTCTCCAACTACACTCTCCATTCCTCCTTTCTACCCAAAGCTGGTGTCTGCGCCTTTATTCACTCGCCGCCTCCAGGATCCCAAATTTTCACTTTTCCAATCTTGAATTTCAGCTGATGTGGCTGAAACTCCGACTTCCCTCCTTTAATCATTACTTTTGTGTTATTTATCGTTCTCCCAATAGCGGCGACTCTTCCACCCTTGATTTTCTATCTTCGAACATTGAACATTTGTTTGCCACGGTCCCAACTGTCATGTTACCATCTTGGGAGATTTTAACGTTCACAATCAGGACTGATTGACACATTCGTCTGCTACTTCTCCTTTGGGGCGCGAAACCGAACGCTTCGCTTTGGTCAACAACCTGAGCCAACTAGTTGACCTCCCCACATGTGTCCCCGATCGCGCGGGCGGTCGGGCCCACGCCCTCGATCTGACTATCACTTCAATCCCTTCTTTCTTCTTTGATATCCGTACCCTCCATCCTCTTGGCTCATCAGATCACTGTATTGTTTCTTGTTCTATTAGGTTTTCAGACTCCGGGCCATCACCCACCTCAAGACACATTCTGGCGCTACAACTCAACCAACTACGCTGGTTTCCGTGATTTCCTGGCTGCTTATCCCTGGAACG